TATGCCCCCAATGTGAAACACCCAAATATGTAAGTCAATCAGAAACATAAGCAAACATATTGATAATAATACTGTAATTGCAGGTGAATTTAACACTCCACTTAAAACAATGGACAGATCATCTAAGCAGAAAATCAATAAGGAAATAATGGCTCTGAATGACACACTGGACCAGATGGACTTAACAGATATACTCAGAACTTTTCATCCCAAAGCAACAGAATACACATTCTTCTCGAGTGAACACAGAACACTCTCCAAAAACAGACCACATACTGGCTCACAAAATAGCCCTCAACAAATATAAAAGGACTGAGATCATACCATGCATATTTTCAGATCATGGCGCAATGAAACATGAAATCAACCACAAGAAAAAATTTGGAAAGCCCCCAAATACATGAAGGGTAAAGAACATCCTACTAAAGAATGAATGAGTCAACCATGAAAACACAACAGTCCAAACCCTTTGGGATGAAGTAAAGGCAGCCCTAAGAGGAAAATACATTACAATCCAAGAAGCAAGAAAGGTCCCAACTACGCAACCTTACACCTAAAGGAGCTAGGAAAGCAGCAGCAAAGAAAGCCCGAAGCAGCAGAAGAAGAGAAATAATGCAGAGCAGAGCAGAAATGAACAATACAGAATCTGAAATAAACAGACCAGTGAATCTAAGGGCTGGTTTTTTGAAAGAATAAACAAAATTCATAAACCCCACCGACACTTCTCAAAAAGAAAAGAGAGAGAACCAAATACAGAAAACCATGAATGAAAGAGGGATCACAACCAACACCACAGAAACACAAATGATTATTAGAGAATACTGTGAACAAGTATATGCCAACAAACTGGACAAGCTGGAAGTAACTGACAAATTCCTAGACACCCACACACTACCAAAATTCAAAAGGGAAGAAACAGAAAATTTGAACAGACCCATACCAGTGAAGAAATTGAATGAGTTATCAAAAATCAGCCAACAAATAAGAGTCTTGGGCCAGATGGCTTCCCAGGGAAATTCTACCAGACATTTAAAGCAGAGTTAATACCTAATCTCCTCAAGCTGTTCCAAAAAATAGAAACAGAAGGAAAGCTTCCAGACTCATTCTATGAAGCCAGTATTACCTTGATTCCCAAACCAGACAGAGACCTTACTAAAAAAGGAGAATTACAGGCCCTGATGAATATAGATGCAAATATTCTCAATAAAATGCTAGCAAATCAAATTCAATAGTACATTACAAGAGTTATTCACCGTGATCAAGTAGGATTCATTCCTGGGCTGCAGGGCTGGTTCAATATTAGCAAATCAATCAATGAGGTTCAATATTCACAAATCCCAAAATGTGTATGGAATCACAAAAGACCCCAAATAGCCAAAGTGTCAAGATTCCTCAAAAAATTAAAAATATAATTACCCTATGACCCAGAAACAGCACTACTGAGAATTATCCAAAGGATACAGGGGTGCTGATTCGTAGGGGCACATGTACTCCGATGTTTAGAGCAGTGCTTCAACAATAGCCAAATTATGTAAAGAGCCCAAATGTCCATCATAACTGCTGGAAGTCACACACACTCACACACACACACACACACACACACACACACACGAATGCTACTTAGCAAAGAAAAAGAATGAAATCTTGCCATTTGCAACAACGTGGATGAAACTGGAGAGTATTATGCTAAGTGAAGTAAGTCAATCAAAGAAAGACAGATCTATGATTTCACTCGTATGTGGAATTTGAGAAACTTAACAGAAGACCATAGGGGAAAGAAAGGAAAAATTAAGTTACAAACAGATAGGGGGGCAAATCATAAGAGACTCTTTTTTTTTTTTTTTTAAACCATAAGAGACTCTTAAATACAGAAAACAAACTGAAGGTTGATGGGGGTGAGGGAGAGGGGAAAGTGGTGATGGGCACTGAGGAGGGCACTTGTGGGAATGAGCACTGGGTGTTGTATGGAAATGATGAATCACAGGAATCTACTCCTGAAGCCAAGACTACACAGTATGTTAGCTAACTTGACCATAAATTTTAAAATAATTTTAAAATAATAATAATAAATAAACAGAACAGAAATTAAAAAAAAAAAGAATGAATAACAACAGACTCACACTTAGGTTCAACAATTGTTACAAATTTGCCATATTTGCTTTATATACATATATGAAAAAATAATAAAGTAACAGCAAATTTTTGAGAGAGAGAAAGAAGGGAGGGAGGTTTTTTTTTGCAGAATCATTTGAAACTGAAGTTCAGACATCATGACCCTTCATCCCTAAATACCTAAGCATACATCTCCTGGTAAGAACAATCTCCTTAAAGCCTACAAACTACTATCACAACTAAAAACAAACAATAGTTTCACAAAATCAGTTTTACCGTCCTGGTCCCTCATTAACAAATTAAGTAAATTTGACACATATTCATTCTATTGAGACACATCTTTGTGTCTATATGTTTTTATGTCTTGATTTTCAAGGCTGTACTGTGCTTTGTGGGTATTAGAGATTCCACCAAGATGATCAAGTGTACAGCCTTCGGTAGCCAAATAAAGAGCACTGTCCAGTAGGGTATCTCATGAGCCCTGTAAGCTCAGCTACATTTTTTTTGTCCCTGGAAGTATATCCCAAGCAATAGTCTTACCTTTACTGCTATTTTATCTACTGTTTTGTATTTCCCCGACATTCCCAATGTTTTGGGTTTTTTTTTTTCTGCACTGCTGAGAGCAATGATTGAAAGGCTGGTTTCTTGGTGTGACCATCTAATGATCTCTATCAGGTTCATGGGGCACTCTGAACCACAGTACAGAGAACAGGATTTCTTGGTCATCTTTTTTTGTCTATTTGTTCTGCTTGCCTATTTCTGAGCTCAAACCAAGCAAAACAAACAAACAAACAAAAAACACCTCATTCCTGGAAAGAGGCACAGCCCTTTTGTGTTAACTTCTGACCTATGACTGACGCTATAAAACTGAAGGTACAAACTGTTAAGTGTCTGTAACTGGAAAAAGTCTTTACCTCTCACTGTTCAAGGTTCAAACAGTTTCCTTTTTCCAGAGGGGACTTTAAACATCAACATTTCGAAAAGAAGTCTTGTGTGACTGGTTTATAGACACTAAGTAAGAGCTTACTTGAAACTAATAGTCCTAGGGGCGCCTGGGTGGCTCAATTGCAGGTCATGATCTCACAGTTCATGGGTTCAAGCCCTGTGTCGGGCTCTGTGCTGACAGCTCAGAGCCTGGAGCCTGTTTCAGATTCTGTGTCTCCCTCTCTCTCTGACCCTCCCCTACTCATGCTGCCTCTCTCTCTCTCAGAAATAAATAAAACATTAAAAAAATTTTTTTAAGTAACTAACAGTCCTAGAATTCTAGAAAATAAGCTAAATTTCTCATACTTTAAATTTGCTAGACTGAAAAAAATCCTTCCCACAGAAATCACTTTTTCAGAAGCATTTTTAGGGAGAAATCTAAGTTACCATAATCAAAGTGAAGTCTGGACAAAACAGATATGTTTGAATATCTGTGTTTTATTAAAAGTATCCCTTCCAAAAAGTAAATAAATAAAATGTACACCTTCCTCTGATTTTGTCTGTGGTGACACGTAAGCACACATTTTCTATAGACTTGGTTTTCTTCTCTCATAAAATGACAAATTAATCTGAGCTTCCTAAATAACATCTGCAGAGTATAATATCCAGTCCATATTCAAGACTGCCTCACAGTCTCCCCCTACCCTCTGCTCACCGGTACTGAAATACCGACGACTCCTACAAACGGCCCCGGCCCCTGTCGTGACATTGGCCCAGAAGCCCCAGCAGGTTTCTGACTGCCTCGTACTGGCAGGAGGGGCGACTGCACAGGAGGCACTCTGACGTCTACTGCATCTACTCACATACACAGCTGACACGGGGCAGTGCAGGGGTCAGTGGCCCCGACACCCTCCACTGGTGGAAAAATCTGCTCTAACTTCTGACTCTCCCAGAGCTTAATTACTAACAGCCTACTGGTGACCAGAAACCTTACCCATAAAATAAATAACACACATTTTGTATGTTACACACGTTTTATACTGTATTCTTATAATAAAGTGAGCTAGAGGGGGAAAAATGTGAAAATCACAGGGAAGAGACAATATATTTACAGTACTATAAAAAAAAATCTGTGTGGGGCGTCTGGGTGGCTTAGTCGGTTAAGCGTCTGACTTTCGCTTAGGTCATGATCTCGCGGTTCGTGGGTTCGAGCCCCGCGTCAGGCCCTGTGCTGACTGCCAGCTCGGAGCCTGGAGCCTGTTTCAGAGTCTGTGACTCCCTCTCTCTCTGACCCTCCCCTGCTCATGCTGTCTCTCTCTCTCTCTCCTAGAAATAAATAAAATATTAAAAAAAAAAATCTGTGTACCCATGGATCCACACAGTTTAGCTGTGTTGCTCAAGGTCACCTGCATGAGCCCTCACGCTGTGGCACTGCATGTCCCAATTCAGACAAAAGGTAGGCCACGAGTTAAGCACTGAACCACCTTTCTGGAGCATGGTGATTAACTCAGAATATTTTATATTAAAACAAACAGGGAGGGGCACCTGGGTGGCTCAGTCGGTTAACTCGTCTGACTCTTGATTTCAGCTAAGGTCATCATCTCACGGTTTGTGGGATCGAGTCCCATATCAGGCTCTGTGCTGACAGGGCATATCCTGCTTGGGATTCTCTCCCCCCCCCCACGCCCCTCCCCTGCTTGCATGGGTGTGTGTGCTCTCTCTCTCAAACAAACATTAAAAAAAATGGGTAAGAGAACTGAATGAAAATGTTGCATAATTTTTTAAATAAAACAGAGACTTCAAAAAGCACCCAGCATGTAAAGCTTAAGGATGAAAACAACCACTTTTCTCTGCTGATAGGGGCAATGAGTAGGAAAGGTTTTTTATGAGCAAACTTGGGAATCTCACTGGGAAAAAAAACAGAGAGCCCAAGTTACTTAAATATTTCTTTCCAAGAAACTCACCTGTAACCTTGCGATCTCCTCTCCGAATTTCTTCTGCTGTTTTGCCAGGACAGACTGGTGGTACTCGGCATTGGCCTGCATGATACAGTGTTTTGCGGCCAAGACGGGGAACACCTCCTGGAAATAAAAATACTGACCAGGGGAGAGTCCAACCACACAAACCACCACAGACAACATGGGGATGCAGGAAGAAAAAGGAAAAGGAGACAGAGATTAGAATCACCCCATTAATGGTTTAGAGGCAGGTTAGCCATTAGGTGTAAATGGAGAAGACAACACGATTTTGCAGGAACTGAACTCAAGGAATTCAATCTCTTACTTCCAATTAAAATTAAAGGGGTTTTGTGGGGTTTTACTGCACTGTTAAGTGAAGCCAATTTAAGTTTTTATAAAGTCTTCAATCAAGCCATGAAGTCAACATTTGTTTACAAAGGAGAGAGGAAAGCATGCGTTAGGGAGAGAAGGAGAACAGACACTCAGAGGACTGTGAGCACGGGGCTTTAGAAGCTTCCTCAAGAGCCCTTGCCCGGCCCCTGGAGCGACTAGACCGCCATTACTCACACAGACTAAGGACAGTGCTCTAGAGCTGTTGCACCGGGTTTTTAAAAGACAAAAGACAGTAAATTAAGTTCCCACTTAAATTCATACCTAAGAGACTCTGTAACAAAGAGGATTTCTAGCCACATAAAGACTTTTTCGTATAAACACTAACATTTCAGATCATATACTCAGAAACACATAGCAAACAGACGATGCGCTAAGTTAATATCTAATATGATAAAGTGTTATTTTGCCCCAATTTGTTTTGAAGAAAATCCCAGTCAGAATTAATTTTAAAAGATCCAAACATATGAACCAAGAAGCACTTATAATGGTAGATGCTCTTCCAAATGTCCAATCGTAGCCTGCATCCTCGCTGCCTTTGGCAAGTACGTGCCGTATGAAATCCAAGAAAGAAACTAGGCAGTCGCTGTCTAGACAAAAATGTGAAAGAATGAAACACTGAACTACCCCCCTGGTGTGCCTTCCTGTCTCCCAGCGAACCATCTCCTTGCTTCCGGGATCACCACCTGCAGATATTCCAGTTTTACAACCAGAATATGAAAATACCTTATGAGCTTATTAGTCAAACGGCAAAAAGACATCTAAGTCTCAAACGGTTTTCATGCCAGATCGCCAGGGAAGGCCAGAGCACCTTGGTTTTCTAACAGGAGATTTTCAAGGAATACCAGGAATGCTGCAGAGGTAGTTTCCAAGTCTCCGAAGGCGACACTCTTCTCTCCGTGACACGGCTGAACTAATGGCCCGACGGGATGTTACGGTACACTATGCAGCCGTACGGGAGGTCTTTCAGGTGAAAACAAGGGGAGAGAAGATCCCAAGGCCCTTCCTCAGGAGTAACAGTATTAACATCCAAGAGTCCTGGGCAAATTTCTAGTAACCCCTTGGTGTATTTTAAATCTCCAGGAATTCTCTCACATTTATTCCTAATTCTCTGACTAATGTGTGCTGCTGCTGTATTTATGCTTTTTTACTTCACTACAAAATTGTCTGAGATTTCATAATTTACTAAGAGTCCTGAATGACTCATAAATCAACAAATTTAGGGCGCCTGGCGGGTTCAGTTGGAAGAGCATGCAACTCTTCGCCTCGGGGTCGTGAGTTCCAGCCCCATGTTGGGTGTAGAGATGACTTAAATAAAGTTAAAAAAATAAAATAAATCAATAAATTCTCCTACAAAATATCCTGTATCAAAAACCACATGCTATTATCATACAGGTAAAACTAATTACCTGAACATTTCTGGCAGTTGAAAGAGTAGTTGAAGCATCCTACATTTCACTCAATCTGTCAGTTTCCTTCTCAATCTTTCTGAGTTTCCGTGTTATTCTAATCATCTGCTTCGTCATTTGACCATCACTGACTAGTCTTTTCAAATGCCACTTGGGAAAAGTTTACATTAAAACAATTAACATTTAGTGTGATGTGTGGCTGAAGGTGGCTGTCTTCCTAGCTGCACAACAGCAGCCCACTTTTCTATCCCTACTGGCAAAACTTAATTCTAATCGAAATACTGGATGAATCTGTTTTCTTTTCCTTTTGTCTTTATGTCTGTTTTTGTGCTTTAAGACTCATCTTTAAGAAAACAGGACAATAATTAAAAGTGCAAATAATCAGCAAGCTCAAGTATTCATGCTTGTACCAAATCCCCAATGAACCAGAACTACACAAGGCCTTGATGTAATAAAATTACTAGAGACAGATGTTCAAAAATTTCCAGAAAGAATTTTGGAAAAACAGATTTAGTACAGAGGAGAGAAAAAGGCATCCCCTAAATATAAAAGAATTTTTCATGCATCTTAAATATGAAATAAAAAATTATTTCTACCAACATATTCTTCAAATGCCTCTCCTGCAATTTCAAGTTTCTTTATAAAACATAATTTTCAATGTGCTTCTTACATACAAAAACCTCTAAGTATTTCCACATGCAAAATAACCCAGTATTTGCAAAAACGATAACTGACCTTGGGAAGAGTATCTTTGTACTGACACTGTTTAAAAGCATCACCAAAGTAATCAGCGGCCTGATTAGCCAATTTGGCTATGATGGCATCTTTCATTTTATCTGGAATAAAATATTACATTAACCATTTTAATTAAAATAAACAAAATCATCTGATACGTCATGGTAACTTAGTATGAACACTGAGATCACAAGTTTGTACACTGTCTTCCTATTTTAAAAGCTGATCACTTCTTTCCACATGTAACAAAATAGGGGAAAAAATTTAGAATTACCTCTTGTGGCTTTTAAGAAAAATACTTCTTGGGCCTGTGCCAGCATAATAAGACTGAGGGTCCCAACAGTATCTGGAGACAGGTCCACGGTAGGCTCTCGATTTAAGGCAGATAAAACTGTCTCTTTAATATGTAAAAAGGCACCACTAGCAAACTAAAGGGGGAGAAAAAGAACTTCTTTAAAATCTGCATAAACTCAGCAAGACTTCATTTTCTATTGTTACACACAAATCACTTCAAATGCTAATTCGGTTAAACAGTTACTATTTTTAAATTTTTATATTGCTACAGATCTAAAACATATGACCTACAGACAATAAGGGTATTTTTCTGAAATGCTGTACAGTAACAGATTTAACTAAGAGTAAAAGTAAATTGCTGCAAAAAACACAGCAACTTAATAGCACGAATTTAAAATTATTTTTAGATATACTTCCCTAAGACTAATATGAGAATAGAGGTAGGGATAAAATGTTATTAAAGAGCTTTTAGTACTGAAATGATCTTGCTTACAGACAATTTCATCTGTCCCACAATTAAACACGCTGTGCTTCGGGGAAACCTCAAAACAGCACAGGTAGCCCGTGCTCTGAGGAACAGCACTGCTATCCATTGCCAGTGATTTCTACTAGGCTTTCCAAGGTCCCTGGTGAAATGTTCCCCATCAGATGTTTTTTTTATTCCGAATCACATTTTGCTGAGGTTAACACAAAATAACTACTTTTATGAAACAAATGATCCTGGTAAAAAAAAAAAGACATGAGTCCAGCATTAAGAGGTCGTGTGGGTTATACAGAGCAGCTATGCTGATGTAACTGAAGATTAGGCGCATTACAAGCACGCGTCATGTTGTCTACAGTCATCAAGTATCACAGAACTAGAGTATCTGCAGAGAGTGATGAGCTGACCCTGCTTAATGCGCTAAGAGAACCACAGACCAGAACGGCGAGGGGCCCACTCTCTCACAAACCTGGAACCAGAGGCCGACAGAGGCTGTTATAGAGCCTGGACAAGCCGATCCAGGGCTTCTGATACCACTGCCCCTTCCCATCACATGAGGTGACCTGCTGCGAACTGCAGAGGTGACTCACAGGATGGAATTTAGTATCACATGACAATTAGCTGAGTTACAGTTAACGAAAATTTTACTTCATTTTCACATTTTAAAACATTGGCCCTTTATAGGCTCAGAGAGAAAAGCATGTGCGTCGTGTCTGTCATCTGAGGCCACTTAAAATTGCATGACAAGCCACAGCGTAGAGCATTCTGTGTGCTTACATGTATTTTCCTCTCACTTTCTTAGCATTCTTAATCTCACTTGTAAACTTCAACAAGAAGAAAAATCAGACTCCACCTCTGGGACAAATTCCATAGCCCTGGAAGGCAGGAAGCACCATATGGAGTTCCAGAGAATTTGAATCAGACACCTGAAACCTCAATGGACCACTTTATTAACATTCTGACCTTTGAGTCTCCTTGTGTGTAAAATGGACCGACATACATAACATGCGTTACAAGTTTATGTGAGAGCAAAATAACGTGCATGAGCACACTCTGTAAATTACAACATAATATAAAACACGAAATCTATCACTCAACAGCAATCATTTATTAAGTTAAAAGAAAAATAAAAGTTGAGTAAATAACATACTGCCACAAAATAATACAGCATATTAGTGAGAGTACCTAAAATCTAAACTCTGCTAACTTAAGAACAGTACATATCTGACCACATTTAACTATGATTTCTCCACAAGTCTGAGTTAAAATTTTCTTACTAAGTGGTCTTAACTTTTACGACAACAGTAAAATGTTAGGTGTGTCTCTAAGAACGAAATACATGTAAATAATGGACATTTGACCCTTGAACAAGAGGTTTGAATGACAAAAAAGTCATACACAGACCTTTTTTTTCAATAAATATACTGCAGTACTGTAAATGTATTTTCTCTTATTTCTTTTTTTTTTTTTTCTTTTTAAATGTTTGTTTATTTCTAGGAGACAGAGAGAGAGACAGCGTGAGCAGGGGAGGGTCAGAGAGAGAGGGGGTCACAGACTGAAACAGGCTCCAGGCTCTGAGCTGGCAGTCAGCACAGAGCCCGACGCTGGGCTCGAACTCACGAACCGTGAGATCATGACCTAAGCGAAAGTCGGACGCTTAACCGACTAAGCCACCCAGGCGCCCCTCTCTTACGTATTTCTTAATAACGTTATTTTGCCCAGCTTATTTTATTGTACGAATATCATATATAATACATATAATGTACACAATACAGATTTTTTAAAAATTACTTTTATTTATTTATTTTGAGAGAGAGCGAGCCAAGTGTGAGCAGCGGAGGGGCGGAGAGAGAGAATCCCAAGCAGGCTCCGTGCTGTCAGCACAGAGCCCAAGGCAGGGCCCGATCGCACAACCCGTGGGATGGTGAGCTGGGTCGAACTCAAGAGCTGGACACTTAACTGCCCGAGCTCCCCCGGGTGCCCCGCAGTCAGTACATTTATTCAACTGCTTATACTCTCCGTGAGGCTTCCAGTCAACAGTAGGCTGTAAGCAGTAGGGGAGTCAAATGTTACAGGGTGCTTTCTGTCTGTGCGAGGGGTTAGCACCCCCAACCCCACGCTGCTCAAGGGCCAACTGTACAAAATGCTTAAATGAGGTCAATAATTTAAAAGGGATTTAATCAAGAACTTCATCTCAAACATTCAATCACTTGTTCTCCCAACATCTACTGAACCTTTGTCATGTGCCAGGCACTGTCCTAGGGGATAGGTATTCAAGAGTGAGGAAAACCAGAGCTGGTCTATAGGTAAAGAGTTCATCTAAGGATTTCAAAAGTGTGAATCAGTTCATTAAACAGTACATTACGTTTCAAGAAAATATCTGTGTATAAAGAAACATCTATAAATCTAAACACAAATTATTTTCAATTTAATCCCAGTTAGCGTTGACTATTGTGTAGCTGCTGTTCTGCGTACCTGGTAATGCTTGGCAGCAATTTTCAATCCTTCATCATTATCCAGGTTCTGTTCCGCTGCAATCTGGCTGGCTAAGGCCGCACAGTTGAATAACACACAGCTCTTTTCATATCCTAAGCTTGCAAGAGCTGTAAAAAATTAGGAAGGAAACAGTTATCAGATTATTTTTTCTAAAGGAAATGAATGTTCCAAAGATAAGTACTATCAAATCTACCCCACCAGCTCTCACAGAAACAAGTTTCCAGACCCGTAATAGTGCCCCTATTTCCAAGGCTGCCCGGCAAGGCATTTACTTCCACAACAAAAATCCCATCATCTAAAATTCAAAAGAGCAAGGAGTTATTTTTTCTTTTCCTATCCCTTCCTTTCCTTCCACCATGCTATTAGGTTCCAAATGAAAAAGTCATTCTCACGTCAATTCTCACTTAAAGTCAAATAAACTGTTTTCCCCTCACCTCTCAAACTTTTATTTAAGACTCTGTATAAATGAATATATATGTGTGCATATCTTCCCCCATATTCAAGCCAGTAAGTCAGCTCTTCACTATTACAAACCTAACCCAGTGCAACACCCTTAGCCCAGTACGTCTCTCAGAAGGCTGGCAGGCTGTGCAGTTACAACACAACTCTGCCCAAGAAACTACACACCTCACGTCCCTGGAGACAGCTACTATCAGGAACAGAAATAAGAAACAAGTGGTGAAAAGTACGGGGAGAGAGCGGCGCTGCTGTGACCTGCTGGCCGGGAATGGAAACTGCAGTCCTGGGGAAAGCACCAGGGCACTTCCTCAAAAACCTGTGGGAAATAAAGTTCCCGTGGGACCCGACATTCCCACTTCTGGGTACAGACCCGAAAGCACTGCGGCAGGCACAGAGAGATACCGGTTGGCCCGTGTTCACAGCCAAAAGGCGGCAGGAGCCCAAGTGCGCACCGACGGACGGACACGCAGACAGAGCGTGGGGTGTCCACACCGGAAGGTCGTTCCGCCGTGAACAGGGAGGGAATCCTGTCAGGCGCTACACCATGGAGGAACCCTGAGGACATGACGCTGAGTAAAGTAAATACAACGGATCCCAAAAAGACAAATTTACAGGCCTACCTCATTTTACTGTGCTTCCCTTTTTTGAACTTTGCAGATAATTGCATTTTTTGACAAGTTGAGGGTTAGTGGCAACTGCATCAAGCAAATCTATCAGCACCATTTTTTCCAACAGCGTTTGCTCACTTTGTATCTCTGTGTGACACTTTGGTAATTCTCAGGGTATTTAAAACTTTTCATCATTATTATTACATTTGTTATGGTGATCTGTGGTCAGTGATCACAAGTCTCTGAAAGCTCAGATGATGTTCGGCATTTTTTTAGCAAGAAAGTTTTAAATTAAGTTATATACATGGCTTCTTAGGCACAATGCTAGTGCACACTTTGAACAGACCACAATACAGTATAGACATAACTTTTATATCCACTGAGAAAAAGAACAAAGCTTTACACTTGAATAAAAGTATACTTGTGCTCTCATTCTTAGTATCCTAAAATTACACAATATTCCAATAAGCAGGTAGCCCACGCTTTATTTAACCAAGGCATTGCTGAAGGACATTTAATTCCCCATATTTGCTACTGGAAGTGACTTCAGGAACTACGTCCTTCTTTATTGATGTTGTCTTTTGCTTCCCACCTCTTCCCAGAAGCAACTGTCTCACTTAAGTATCTTCTAGTGGCCTCTGCTCCTTGTTCTCAGCCTACCAATTCCACCTTAAAAATCCTTTTCTTGACCTGGTCTCCCTCTCAGCATAATATCTTGTCCTTACTTCTTTACTTAAAATCTTCTAAAATGAGCAACCCACTTTTGCTGTTTGCCATTTCCTCACCTCTGCTCCACCCCTCAACCTGATGTAATTCCGCTTCCTCAGCATACCCCTAGTGAAACTTCTTTCATGACCAAATCCAGCGACTTCTCCAACTTTATGTGACTTGACCTCTGCCACAATGACTCTGCCAGTGATGTTCCTACCTGAATGCATATTAAAATCACCTGGAGGTATTTTCAAGGCTACTAATTCTAGTGGTCCACCCTGAGAATTCCTCCTAGCACACCTGGCATTCTGTATCTTTACATGTGGACCTTTCACATTTTCCCCAGGTAATTCTTTTTTTTTTTTTTTTTTTTTAATTTATTTCTGAGAGAATGAGAGAGAGAGCAAGTGAGCAGGGGAGGGTCAGAGAGAAAGGGAGACACAGAATCTGAAGCAGGCTCCAGGCCCTGAGCTAGCTGTCAGCACAGAGCCCAACGCGGGGCTCAAACCCACGAACCATGAGATCATGACCTGAGCCGAAGTCGGACGCTTAGCCAACTGAGCCACCCAAGAGCCCCTTCCCCAGGTAATTCTAACATGCAGCCAGGTTCAGGAACTGCTGGACTGTGTGACCTCTGAAGCTCCTCTGGCACTCAATGCCGTGTCTCTTTTTCCCTCTGGTCCCTCCGGGATCTGAAAGCTTTTTTTCCTCCTCATTCCCAGGAACCTCTTCCTCTGTCTCGCTTGAATGTGGAATCACCAGCTCTGGCTTTCACACTTTTCCCAATCTATAGGCTACCAGAAGCTGTAAATTTATTATCATTTAATAACTGTTCCTAAATCTGTTACTACCACCCTTGAGTTTTAAATGTTTCCAAACACCAAAGAAAAAGTTCTACCCACACGTAACATACAAAAGTCAAGCTCAATTTGCCTTTTGGAAGGAATATCCAACAGCTTGAACCTAGTTATAAATCTTAGAGTCACTTCAACCACTACTCTTCCTTCTGAGAGACAGCCAGCAGAACCAGTCAGTTTCTACTTCAAAATGTCACTCAAACCCCTGTCTTCTCCTCTGGCCCACATGTGCCGCCCTGTCTCATCTCATCTGTCACCAGTCTCCTCACTGGCCTGTTGCTCTCTAGCCTCTGGAGTCAGGCTTTCTGGAACCACATCCCATGTCATCAAATCCTTACCTTATGATCTAGAAAGTCACTCAATCTTTCTAAACCTGTGTATTCAAACGGTAATAACAGTGCCTTTCTTCATTGGGCTTTTGGGAAATTCAGGAAGATAATATATGCAAAGCCCTTTCCACACTACCTAGGTGGAGTAAGTGCTCAATAAATGTTAGCTATTAACATGTGAGAGAGAAGAGTACAAATTCATGGTAGATTTGCAACTCTTCAAAATCTACTTTCTAGTGTCTTCATCCTTCACAACCCTCAGTTCAACCTATGGTCTCAAGCCTTAACAATACTCTTATTAATATGTATTACACATAATTTGTACTGTTTACTATGTATTAGACAGATTTTCTATAATGCATATACTATAAATCATGTTACATGTACTTATTCACTATAAAATATATTACTATTACTGCAGCTAATATTTACTGCATACTCTTCTAAGAACTTCACGTTTCACTCATTTAATCCTCACAAGAGCCCAAATAAGATAAACAGTATTTCACAGTACGATTTATTCCCCATTCCAAAAAACAAGAAAGTTAACGCACCCAGTGGTTAACCTGCCAAGCTGGCACATCAAAAAAAAGTCATTCTTCTGACCTTTGGTTATAATGTTCTACCTGTAACATTATTTTTTAGCTGGGAAAACCAAATTCATCCTTCAGAGCCTCACCCGAACATCGCTTGCTTTCAAAAAGCAGAATTCATGTCTTCCTCACCTACGGGCTCACTACTTTGTTCATATCCTCCTAGACTACCTGCTGTATTTCAGAGTGATCAGCTGTCTTCCTAAACTGACTGAATACAGCTGTCTTATTCACTGTTATAACTAGGACAGTGCCTGGCAAGGCGCAGGCTCTCTACAAATATTTGGAAATTACATTAAAAGTTGAGATTAAAAAAAATAATTTTTATTATTTACAAAAAGTTGTCAGGAGAGCAATTTTTAAAACCTAAAATAATACAAGGTGTTTAGACCAAGTGTCTTATCATTTTTTTTTTTAATTTTTTTAATGTTTTATTTATTTCTAGGAGAGAGAGAGAGACAGCGTGAGCAGGGGAGGGTCAGAGAGAGAGAGGGAGTCACAGACAAACAGGCTCCAGGCTCTGAGCTGGCAGTCAGCACACAGCCCGACGCGGGGCTCGAACCCACGAACTGCGAGATCATGACCCAAGTGAAAGTCGGACGCTTAACCGACTAAGCCACCCAGGCGCCCCTGTCTTATCATTTTTTAAAAAAGTAATTACATACCCAATTTTACAGATCCTCCAAAAAGTGAACCTTTATCAAAAGCATCCTTCCAGGTAAATGTTAAGCAGATCTTTATAGAAAGAGAGAAAAGAGAAAATTATCTTATCTTTCTGTATCTCATTAAATATTAGGTCTTTTTTTAATCTTTATTTATTTTCGAGAGAGAGAGAGAGACAGAGCACGAGCAGGGGAGGAACAGAGAGAGAGAGAGAGAGACAGAGACAGACACATAATCTGAAGCAGGCTCCAGGCTCTGAGCTGTCAGCACAGAGCCCAACGTGGGACTCGAACTCACAAACCATCAAGGTCGTAACCTGAGTTGAAGTTGGACACTTAACCAACTAATCTACCCAGGCGCCCCAATATTAAGTCTCTTTTAAAGAAAAACCCACAGTGAGGAAAAGGACTAAAGTTTGTCAAAACATTATCTTCTATAGACAACTAACTCCTTTCCCTTTTCCTGGACCACAAAAATTTTCTTTTTTAAAAGTAAAACACTGGGGTGCCTGGGTGGCTTAGTCGGTTAAGCGTCCGACAGTCGGTTAAGCGTCCGACTTTCGCTTAGGTCATGATCTCACGGTTCGTGGGTTCAAGCCCCGCGTCAGGCTCTGTGCTGACAGCCAGCTTAGACCCTGGAGCCTGTTTCCAATTCTGTGTCTCCCTCTCTCTCTGACCCTCCCCTGCTCACGCTGTCTCTCTCTCTCCTAGAAATAAATAAAACATTAAAAAAAATTTTTAAGTAAATAAATAAATAAATAAATAAAAGTAAAATACTAAGATATTTCCAATGGTCATTCTGCCTCAGTAACTGTACATATATTGTCCTCTCCAGAAAACACGATCTCACTCATCTTTACCACACACAATGGCTTGAACAGAATAGGCACTTAATAAATGATTGTCAAATAAGCCAAAAGAAGCAAAAGTTTCCTTGAATATAAAATTAAAAATTATTCCCTGACGACAAAAGAAGGGTTACCTTTGGGAGAATGAGATAATGTTATTTCTTGATTTGGCTTGCTCTTACACATGTATATTCACTTTGTGAAGATTCAGACTATTCACATTACATACTCACTTTTGTACATATGCTGTACGTATATAGAAAGTTTACTTAATAAAAAGATATATTTCACTCTGATTCTAAAATATTACACATATAAAGATTAAAAAACAACTTACCATCTTTTAAATTATGTATTGCAATCCCATACAAAAATTGCATAACTCTGGATTTGAGAAATTGTCAATGTACACAAAACGAGAGAGAATACCGTGATGAGCCCCATGCAGTCACCACAGCCTTAGCCTTTTGAACGTCTTGGTTCACCTGCCCCCACATTCCCTGCCCCCCAACCCTACACATACACCTTTTCTTCGAGTATTTTAAAGCAAATCTCCACATAGTATGTCACCTGTAAAAACTTTACTACAAGAATGTTTAGAGCATTTTTCATAAACTACATACTTTAAAACTTAGAAATGTCACACAAATTGGGAACTTTTAATAAGTCTCTCAAACAAAACTGTGAGAAATCATCAGCATTTTCAACATCTAGCCTTTAAGGGAAAGCAGATGTTCCTGTTGTGCAACGTTTAATCTTAACAGCACTTGCAACTTTATATGCAAATATGTCAATTTCTAAAACATATAAGCTGAGACTAATACTTCAGTTTCCTTCTTTATTCTGTATAATACAAAAGAAGGACAGCACAGATTACGTTAATCAATCAACAGATCATGTTGATATAAAATGCAGGGGAAAAAAATGCAGTCCAATGGTCCACATAAGCCCAGAAGTTACTAAGGAATGACAGGGACAGGAACAGAATTCCAAGCGGCTCCTCCAAAAGACATAGATTCTCATCAGGTGGGTTTATAAGCTTCTAATCTGTATCAAAAGGCCTTATAAAAACATAAAAATAGTGAAGAGACACCATTTATTTTAAAAAGTGGTATCACGTGTGAGAAGGAATGGGTGTTTGCCATTATCATTATGTAACTTTAAAACAAATTAAAATTAGTGACTTACCTGATTTTCAGAGAATGGGAATTTGGGTTCAATAGAACAAATTTGATCATAGTATCTAAAATTTAAAAAAAAGAAGAAAATTTATAATTACCAAAGCATTTATATTATATATATTTACATATATACAACTAGTTTACGAGTACACAAGAATTATTCATGCTTACTTGGAGCAGCCCACAAATCAAATTCAATCAGCCATTTTAAAGTTAATAAACAATATCTTTTAATGTGCAAATCAGAATTTGAAATGTACACATTAAAAAAAATTGTGGACAAAAAACTCATACTCCCCACCAAAGAAAATATGTATCACGTGTTACTGGCTAAATGGAAACTAACATCTGCGCGGGACAGTATTTCTTAAAATACTCTTTCTTACTAAGGTAACTGTTTATATCCATTGAGCAAATCGACATCTCCGACAAACTGCTATTTAAGAACAGGTTTACTAACTTTCACCTATGCTTTGGACATCTCCACTCTGTCTCTCTCCATTGTCACACAGTTCAACAAAGCTTCCACCCTGCCCAGAAATAAACTTACGATTATTCAATTAATCTTTAACAGTGGAGGCAAGAATATGCAATGGGAAAAAGACAATCTCTTCAACAAATGGTGTTGGAAAAACCGGACAGCAACAAAAGAAAGACACTGGACCACTGTCTGATGCCATTCACAAAAAAAAAAACTCAAAATGCATTAAAGACCTAAATGTGAGACCTGAAACCATAAAAATCCTAGAAGAGAGCATGGGCAGTAATTTGAAAAGATATATGCATTCCTATGTCTATTTAAACATTATTTACATTAGCCAAATTATGGAAGCAGCCCAAGTGTCCAACAATAGATGAATGGATAAAGATGTAGTGTGTGTATATGTTACTCGGCCATACAAAAGAATGAAACCTTGCCACTTACAATGACATGGGTGGAGCTAGAATGTACAATGGTAAATGAAATAAGTCCGAGAAAGACAAATACCATGTAATTTCACTCCTATGTGGAATTTAAAAAACAAATGAGCAAAGGAAAAAAAGAGAGAGAAACCATGAAACAGATTCTTCATTACAGAGAATAAACTGATGGTTATGGGGGGAAGGGGGAATGGGTGAAATAGGTGATGGGGATTAAGGAGTGCACTCGTTGTGATGAGCACTAGGTGATATACAGAAATGCTGAATCGTTATATCATACACCTGAAACTAACACTGTATGTTAACTAGAATTAAAGTAAATATTAAAAATGAAGTGTACTCTTTCTTAATCCCCTTCACCTACTTCACCCATTTCCTCACCTAACTACCCTCTGGTAACCATCAGTTTGTTCTCTATGGTTAAGAGTCGGCTTTTCAGTTTGTCTCTTTTTTTATTTTTCATTTATTTTTTTTTCCTTAATGTTTTATTTTTGAGAGAGACAGACAGTGAGTGGAGGAGGAACAGAGAGAGAGAGGTACAGAGCATCTGAGGCAGGCTCTGCACTGACGGCAGAGAGTCCGTGGCAGGGCTCGAACTCACAGACTATGAGACCTGAGCCAAAGTCGGACACTTAAACTGAGCCACTCAGGCACCCCTCGTTTATTTTGTTTGTGAAATTTGTTATTCTGTTTCTTAAATTTCTTAAATTACTGCCCATGCTCTCTTCTAGGATTTTTATGGTGTCAGGTCTCACATTTAGGTCCTTAATCCATTTTGAGTTTATTTTTGTGTATGGTAGAAGAAAGTGGTCCAGTAATATTCCATTGCATACAAACACCACATCTTCTTGATATGGTTTATCTATACGATGGAATACTACATGGCAATGAGAAAGAAGGAAATCTGGCCATGTGTAGCAGCATGGATGAAACTTGAGGGTGTTATGCTGAGTGAAATAAGTCAGGCAGAGAAGGACAGATACCATATGTTTGCATGTACAGGAGGATTAGGAGGAACTTAACGGAGGACCATGGGGGAGAAGAAGGGGAAATAGTGGGGGAGAGGGAGGGAGGCAAACCATGAGACTCTTGAATGCCGAGAACAAACTGAGGGCTGATGGGGGTGGGGGGAGAAGGGGAGTGATGGGCACGGAGGAGGGCACTTGTGGGGATGAGCACTGGGTGTTATATGGAAACCAACTTGACAATAAACGATTAAAAAAAAGAAGTTACTATGAGTTGGGAAACTCCTTTATTGGTAAAATTACATGCCTTTCTACATCCAGAGGGTAAATAAGAACTAAATGTATTTTAAAACACTTTATACCAATATATACCCAATTTTTAAACCTTGAGTGTTAATTATTCTTACCAAATATTAGTAGCATTATTCAAGTATTAGGTTTGGCCTGAGACATTTGGACAGGAGCTAAAGTTGAGGTTTTTTGACTATACACAAAGGAATTGTGTTTTGTTATTCTCCCATATTAAAAGGAAATAAATTTGCTGAAAGGTGAAAAAACAAAAACACCACATCTTCTTATCCATTCATCAATCTATGGAAAGTTGGGTTGTTTTTCAGATCTTGGCTATTGTAAGTAATACTGCAATAAATATAGGAGTGTGTGTATCACTTCAAATTAGTGTTTTTATTTTCTTTGTGTAAATATCCAGTAGTGGAATTACAGGATCAAATGGTAGGTCTATCTTTAATTTTTTGAGAAACCTCCATATTGTCTTCCCAGTTTGCATTACCACCAAGAGTGCCCAAAAGTTTCCTTTTTCTCCATATCCTCACCAATACCTGCCATTTCTGTGTTTTTTATTTTAGCCATTCTGAAGGTGATATCCCATTGTGGTTTTGATTTGTATTTCCTTGATTATGAGTGATGCTGATCGTCTTTTCATGTATCTGTTGGTCTTCATGTCTTGTTCGGAAGAATATTCATGCCTTCTGCCCATTTTTTAGTTGGATTATTTGTTTTGGGGGTTGAGAGTAAAAATTCTTTATACATCTGGATACTAACCCCTCATCAGATATGTCGTTTACAAGTACCTTCTCCCATTCCATAGACTGCCTTTCAGTTTTGTTGATTATTTTATTAAATAAAATAGAACCATTTTATTTAATGTAGTCCCAATATCTTTGCTTTTGTTTCCCTTGCTTCAGGAGACCTATCTAGAAAAAAGCTGCCACAGCCAATGCCGGAGAAGTTATAGCTTGTGTTCTCTCCTAGGATTGTTATGGTTTCAAGGCCACGTTTAGGTCCTTAATCCATTTTGAGTTTATTTTTGTGTATGGCATAAGTGGTCCAGCTTTACTTGAAGAGACTTCTTTCCCCATTATTCTTTCCTGTTTTGTCAAAGATTAATTAATCATATGTAATTGTGGGTTCATTTCTGGGTTTTCTATTCTGTTCTATTCCTCTATGTGTCTATTTTAATGCCAGCACCATACTGTTTTGATCAATACAGATTTGTAATATAACTTAAATCCAGAACTGTAATCCTGCTTTTCTTTTTCAAGACTGCTTTGGCTATTTATTTAGGGTCTTTTCTGGTTCCATACAAATTTTAGGATTATTTGTTCTAGTTCTGTAAAAAATGCTGCTGGTATTTTGATGAGAATTGCATTAAATGTGTAGACTGGTTTGGGTAGTATAGGTACCTTAACAATATTTATTCTTCCAATCCATGAACATGGAAAGTCTCCATTTTTGTTATCTTCAATTTCTTTCATCAGAAAGAATACTTTTCAGAGTACAGGTCTTTATCTCTTTGGTTAGGTTGATTCCTACATATCTTATGATTTTTGATGCAATTGTAAATGGGATTGTTTCTTTAATTTCTCTTTCTGGTATCATGTCATCTGCAAATAATTAAAGTTTTACTTCTTCCTTACCAATGTGGATGCCTTCTATATCTGTTTGCTGTCTGACTGTTGTGGCTAGGACTTCCAGTACTATGCTGATTAGAAGTGGTGAGAGTCGCCATCCTTGCTGTGTTCCTGACCTTAGGGGAAAAGTTCTCAGTTTTTCCCCATTGAGAGTACATTTACCCTGATAAGCACTGAGTAATGTACAGAAATGCTGAGTCACTACATCATACACTTGAAACTAATACAACACTGTACGTTAACTAAACTGGAATTAAAATTTAAAAAACAAACTTCTACCTCCCTTTAAGTAGACTAATCAAAAAGTCTCCTGCAGTCATTTCTCATTCTTTTCAATCTATTCTCCCCACAGCAGCCAGAACCATCATCACATACAAAGCAGTCTTCTCCCTCATCACGCAGACCTTTGAGCGAACATGAGGGACTGGGGGTATCCAAGGCGAAGCCTTCTAACTGGCCTCGAATCTTTCCTCCTTCTCTCATTACTTCCCCTCCCCTCCGCACCTTCATCAGGGCTATCATTCCAATGACTGTTTCTGAGGTCAATCTTTCAGGGGAGGGGAAACATGTGTGAGACCAAGTTTTTGGCTGACATGGCCATAGGTTTGGTTACAAACAGGAAGAACTGAGCAATTAAGTAAATACAATGAAGATAACGACACTAATTTCTAACTATCAGAGAAAGGAATTACAAACATAGGAAGAGAAATGGAAAGAATAAATTCTGTAGTTTTTGCCTGAAACTGGAATTATCAGTGTGGTTTTTACTATAATGGAGAAATCCAGGGGCACCTGGGTGGCTCAGCTGGACGCCTGACTTTGGCTCAGGTCATGATCTCATGGTTCATGGGTTCGAGCCCCGCTGTCAGTGCAGGGCCTGCTTTGGATCCTGTGTCTCCCTGTCTCTGCCTCTCTACCCCTACCCTGCTCCCTCCCACACATTTTCCCTCTCTCCCAAAAATAAGTTTTATGTATATATATGTGTATATATATATACACACACACACACACATATATATGCTTTATATATAGTGGAGAAATAGAAATACAGGTATAAATGTGTGTGAGAGTGTATTTCCTACACATATACACTCAGAGGGCCCTAGAAGCAATAACACCTCAGTAGCATAAGCACATCTAGATCCCAAATGAATAATTCTCTGCTTTAGGAGCCAACACTCCTTCGAGAAATGACAGATTCCATGGCTGAGACGGAGAAAATTCAAGAATCAAGCCTAAAACATC